TAAAGAAGTTAAATCTGCTGCCCAAGTTGTCAGAGCTAGAAAGCAAAGAGTTGGAATTCAAACCCAGGTGAGTCTAGAGACTGCCCCGTACCACAGTACCACAGGTCTTCTAGATGTAAGGTGATGGCTCAGGGACCTTGTCTTAGAAGTCCTGCAGTGAGTGCAGGTTTACAAAGAAAAGTCCTTTAAGGATATGTCAGAGATTAAGATATCTCCAAAGTACTCTTGGAAGTCTGACACTTATATCCCTACATGAACATAAGATACTTCCAATAAACAACACTATTTTAGAGAAATACATGGTATTTCTAAATGAAATATAATGCACAGTTGATTTTCATCACTAAAGGAATTAATAATCTATCAGTTGTCATTATCTTTATTACAGATACATAACCCTTAGGATGAAATTTCCCAAATTTGGAGTTACTAAGATACAGATTTGCTCTTCATGCTTTTTATTAGATATAAACTCTAAATTTCTTATTTAGATAAAATTTTTATTTTCATTGCTTCATTCCTGGTTTCTTACCCTTTAATATCTGTATTTCATTTGATTCCTTCACAAGTCAGGAGGGAATTTGCACAAGACCTTCTTGATGGAAGAAGAAAATTAAATGTAGCAGCCTGTCACTCACTGAAAGGTCAGATACATCAGAGCTTTACTCACATGAGTTACAGGGGATATTCAGAAAACCCAAACACAGACATACACTCACTGTAACAAAGAATGTTAAAACACTGAAAACAATCCAAATTCATTGCCCCAATGTCCACATTCTGAAGTTTATGCACATGACCCACAGGAATGGCTCTTGCTTATTTTCTCAAGAAAAGATATTTTAATCTTTATACAGAAAGGATTTTCAAAGAAAGACTGACTGGCTACTGGCATTTGTATGTCCCAGAGGATTAAAAATAACAAACTGAAGAGTCTGGACATTCAAGGGAGACGACTAGCCCAGACTCACTCTAGCCACCCCATGATACAGCACATAAGAATTGGTGCCTAAGAAAATGACTGTGGGCAATATTTTAAAAAATGAATTATTTGACTCTTCCTTGACCAAAGTATGGGACAGTATACACTACTGTTTACAAAGATTCCCACAAAAATAGTTATTTTTTTCCAAGTTCGACACTAGTGAAGATTTTAAACTTTAGTTGTCTGTGAGAATCACTTATCAATAATTATTTTATGTTAATTAAATAATTAATGGATTATAGAATAGATTAACTGCTTAAAATTTCCTGAAGACATAAACGGAAAAGCTTAGCATAATTATAGAGTATAAACTGCAAAAATCTAGCTGAAGATTGTTTTTTGTGTGTGTATGTTTCTACTTTGGCTTTATTTTATTTTATTTTTAGTTACAATCGTAACTGTGGGGCAGTGCGCGTGGCTCAGTGAGTAGGGCACTGGACCCATATACCGAGGGTGGCAGGTTTGAACTCAGCCCCGGCCAAACTGCAACAACAATAAAAAAAATAGTTGGGCATTGTGGCGGGCACCTGTAGTCCCAGCTAGTTGGGAGGCTGAGACAAGCGAATTGCCTAAGCCCAGGAGTTGGAGGTTGCTGTGAGCTGTGACACCATAGCACTCTACCAAGGGCAATAAAATGACACTCTGTCTCAAAAAATAAAATAAAATAAAATAAAATCATAACTGTATACATTTATGGGGTACAGGTGATGATTTGATATACAATGTGGAATGCTTAAATCAAACTGATTAACATATCCATCAGGTCACTTACTTGTTTTTTGTGGTAAGACATTTAAAATTTATTATTAGTTATTTGGTATATACCCTTGCATTGTGAGATCCCACCAAATGTCCTCCCTCCTCCCATCAATCAACCTTCCCCCTGTTAGTTCAAGTTTTGAAGAAAGCCTAGAAAACAAAATAAAATAGATTGCCATCAATTCCAGAATGTGCTTTTTCAAAGTAGTTGATCGCACAGTTAAGTTAGATAGAGAGGACAGCACATTCCTGACGTGACTGAGAGCGCCGAGCACCTTACCCAGGGGCACTCTGGCCGCGCTGGCATCTGGGTTGATCCAGAAGGACAGCCAAGAGAGGACCACGATGAGCAGGGTTGGGGCATAGACGCCCATCATGTAGAAGCCGACCTGCCTCCTCAGGGTGAAGATGACTTCCACACACGTGTAGTAGCCTGTCAGAGACAGACACAGGAACGGTGTCAGCTTCCTACCCACACACAACTGCGACAATCGACAGGGTGCCTCAGTCGCCTCTATTCAAGGCAACTTCACAAAGTAAACTTTGCCTCCTTTAAATAGTATATATAATTGATGTGATCTAAAAGGTGACATTATGGAACCAGTTTTGCCTGACCTTTCCCGACTTCATTATGTCATTGAGAAATAGATCCCACAAGCTGCTCCACTAGATCAGTGTCTAGGCTTTTCTGTCTTTATTCAGAAAATGTGCAAAGCAGTTGAACTTTCCCTTACCCAGGGGTGCTCGCAGGGCGGATGATTTAAAGGGGCCCTGTGGGGAGCAGTAAATCAAAGCAGAACATGTCTAAGGGGAAATGCTCCTGGACTGGGTGTTGTCCAGGAGCGTTTTTTAGCTGCATGAATCAGTGCTGATCTAGAAAGGATGGCAATCTTCCGTGATGCTTAGGAATAGTTAAACATTACAGAATGAAGAGAGTATTGGAAGTAAACATCAGCAAAAAGAAGAAATAAGCGTTTTCAGTTCATGGACGTAAAAGACTGTAAAGTGTAAATATCTAATTCTCCTCTCAATTTCCTCTGCTCCCCTACTCCAAGTCTGCAAATAGAGTCTAACTGAAGAAAAGAACTTTCACGTTCGCATGCCACCACTAATGCAGAAATTGCTTTAACCCCTAATTCTAGGGGATCGTGACATCAGCCAGTCCCCCGAATTAATTACAAATTCTGGGAAGCCTCCTAGCCTTTGCTGCTTTAACAAGGAAAATAAGTGGCCCAAATATTCTTACGGCACTGCACTTGAGAGAATGATATATTTCCAGATGTTTCAGATTATACGTTACACGTTTAGGTCCTTTCAGTTAGCAATTTAAGTATAATATTTTACGCCTCAAATGTATAATTTAGATAAGAATGTCATGTATCCTTTAACAAAATTAAGGTTATGTGAAAATATCAGAAAGTTAAAATTTATCCAAACTTTACTTTTTTTAAAATGGTGAAACAGATAAATGAACAATGAATAAATGAAACAATTGTGGAGTCAGAATAACGTTATTATTGACTATTTTCTAGTTAAAAATAATATTTATCTAGTCTTCTGAAGTGGGAATACTGTACCCACACTTCAGACATTAAGATAATCATCCTGTTTATTCATTAATACTATCTAACACAGTACTTGCACACAATAGGATCTTCACAAGTGTCGAATAAAAGAATGACTATTCACATGCTCTTAGCAAATGACTCAGACTAGAAATCCATCCTTTTCCAATGTGGATTATAATCATTGCTACTTCATGGGGATTAGACAAATAGTAGAGCTACTGTGTAAAAAAGAATAATTAGTTGATTTGATTTGAACTGAAGTAGTTCTAATTATGCCAAAAGCTTCTAGATTATATCAAAAATAAAAAATTCCAACTGCTTCTTTTTTTAGATTTTAATTTCCTCAAAATTAGGCAACATATTAGATCATTCAAAGGCTCTAAAAAGATACAAAAATGAAAACAATGAAAAATTTCCCTCCCTTGTCTGTTTCCCACCATTCATCTTAACTTCCTGCCAGAACAAACAAGAACATATGTTTCTAACTAACAATCGTGCATAATATTTTGAAACTATAATCTTTCATAAGCATTACTGCTGTATTTAGGAAGGTCTGCACTATTTTCCTAAGTGTGACTGTGAAGACCCTCACGCTGTAATAGCATCACTTAGTCAAGCTAATTTTATCTTCACGTGGTATTCACAAAATGTATTTCTGAACACGTTATAAATTTTTGTTAGTTTTCTCAGTTTTCACAAACATTATAGTAACGGACTATAAAGTAGAACACTTTAAAATGCAGTGTTGTATTTCATCCCACTATGTTTAAAGGACACCAAAATTGGGAGTCCTGTGTTTTGGAGCAAGTTCCCCCCCATGTCCCTTTGATGAAGGCACCCACAAGGGAAGCTTCATAAGACTTGGATGCATTCAGCAGTAAAATACATGCTTGGGTATTACAGTGATTTGCTCCATAAACCTTTACGAGAAACATTTCTTGATCTTTTTTGATCTTTTCCTAGTCCTGTTACATTTATGAGAGGCAGGTGGGCAGCTAATTGATATAAATGTTCTTTGGGCAAATTCAATTTACTTTCTATTTCCTGTGAACTTTTATTTCATTATTCACTCAGCCATCCAATTGACGTATTTTTGTAGACTTATTTTTCTATATCTTTGTTCAACTTTGCAAATTCTATAATAACGTAAAAGCATAATTTTAATAAAGTTAAAGCTGTCATTATTTCCATCTAAATTAAAGAAAATATTGGCTATCATTTTACAAATACATAGCATGTGTGTGTGTGTATATTCTTTTTCACTCTTCTACATTGTTAAACATTCCAGATACTTTGAATGTCCTGTTTTTCTAAATTATTCAAGCATTAAAATATGTCTTACATATATTCATATGATGATTCATGTAAATGCTGATAAACTACCTGAAACAATGTGAGCACCAAAAAATATTGTTAGCCAAAAGTTTTATTGTTATTTTCTGTAGCTAATGAGATTTCAATGACTTATTTATGACTAAAAGATAACAAGAAAGATCTTATAACTCCTGAGTAATCCCCTAAATTCTCTCTACCATGCACACATCATTTCCTTCTAAAATCTAAAATGAATTACATTTACTTTTTAAAATGTCTACCACATTGCAATCTACTCTGCTCTATGAAGGAGAAGGGCCTGTTTTTTTATTTACTACTGAGTTCCCAAATGGAGAACTTTTAAACGTAGGGCTACAAGTAAAGTAATGAATTCTCCCCCAAGATTTTCAATGCTATTACATAAGTTTATGCTATTACATAAAATTACAAATAAAATTGTTAATTTTATTTTCTTCCCTAGATGAAGTTAATGTCTTCAATGGGGTCTCTTTTGTATTTCTCAAAACAATTTAGACACTATTCATTTTGCCAGAATAACCTTATAATCTGGATGCAGATAACTACAGTAGAGCTCTGTAAGCTGACCTCCCAAGGGACTGTAACACACTGGTCAACACACAGAGGTGAAAACACAAGGACCACTGTACTGGTATGTACATATGCTGCATGTCTGGTCTATGAAAATCAGTCAACTTAAAGAGGTGGTCAGTGAAAGGAGGTGGTCAGCAGTGGAGGTTCCACTGTATTTTTGAAGATAATAGGAGTCCACACATAATATGACAATATCAGACTCACTATCCCAGCACATCACTTAGTAACGGTCTGACTGTGAGCAAATATCTTTACTTCATTAGCCTAATGAATAAAATGGAGATAATAAAAGTACTTAACTCACAGGACTGTTGTGAGGATTAAATTATATAATTTCTACAAAGCACTTAATGCCTAGTATACTAAGAATTCAAAAAGGTATTTATTAAATGTCTTCTTACACAACAATCCCAAAAGGATTTTCGTAGTTTTCAAGATTATTCTTTTAATTAATAGGTGAATTATAAAAATCCCTAAACACACAGTCTTCTTAATTTAAAGGCATACAGATGGGAGAAAAACTACTACGCCTAGTCCCATTGCTGACACTAATTTGCCCAGTGACGTTCAGTAAGTCATTTAGTCACCCTGCATTTCAGTTATTTTATGTGCTAAGTAAAGTAACTGGCTCAGAATTATCACTTAGATCATTTCTATATCTAATAATCTATGCATATTTTACTTCAGTGAATACACCAATGGCCAAATTTTTAAGATCACTGTTTTTACTTACAAAAAAAAAAAACCCTTTAGAATTCTTTAGTAAAATATTTAATTATAATTTCTCTTGTTCTACTGTATATAAGCTCTAACAGAAAGGACTACTGATATACAAATGTTAGATAATCCGTTAATGTATTTGAAAGTCAACAAGAGATGCTTAAACTGATTTTATACCCAAGTGGCCTAGTCTTGGCTTTATTATACCACTGTAAATGAGCAATCAGTCTGCCTCTTATTTTACTATGAACTGAAATGTTATAAATTATATTTTGCCCTTGGTGTAATAATGACAGCATTCTCTCTCAAACATCTCATCTCTCTAAATTCTACACAATTGTACTATATACATAGTTATTATTGCAACTCAACACAAATGTTGTAATGAAGTTAAACTTTAATTATATCTATTCCTAGATTTCTTTTGTCATGATTTACTTGAGACAGAATTAGAACTGTATGATAATTTAGAAATTGAACAGATTATTACTACTAATATAATGATCAAAATTAAATGATCTCCTTATTTATTTCACTAAGTGGAATAACACTATATTCAGTATCTAAAACATTCAATCACCAATATCTACCAGGAGAGAGTGAAAGACTGAACACTAATAATATTATGACAATATTGAACAGTGAGTACTGCATTTTCTGCAAAAGCTCAATGCAATTTAATGAATGAGGTTAATTTGTTGTGCTTTTCGTAACTGGCTGTTCCGTGACCTAGGGTAAGAAGACTCTACAGGGACTATTTACTGATGTCCAATTATTTTACACCACTATTGCTTCCTGCATAGCATAAAGATCAATGCTTTATAAAATTAAGAATGTGCGCCAACTACCACCTAAATACTACTCAAAAGACAATGGGTGACTATATATGGATTAAATTGTTTTATATCTAAAAAGTTCAGCCCTAAATTGAATCTTACCAGAAGTAGAAATTTTTGCAACATCTAAGAAAAACCACTACCTGGGATAGTTTGCATTCTAAAATAAAAAATTGAAAACTTCTAACTACCAGAATTACATAGAGAAAAAACATATCTATCTAGTTACTAAAAAGTATTAGTAACTGGCATTCTATGAAAGATTTAAACATGTGAATATAAAGATAAACTACTTACAGCAACTTTCTTTGTCTAATCAGTTTGCTTCTATTCGTCCCTTAGCATATATTAATTAAAATGAATCTTTGAAATAGGACTTAGTTTTATTTAACTTAAAGATTGTGACTTACCAGTGCCTTTATAGTATTTTGTGCAGTTGCCGTATTCAATATCCTCCTTTTTAATATCAAATTGAGGCAAGGCAATTTTTTCTAACTGAACAGGATCCCCTGACTGCCAGATGAATCGTAAATCATCAGTTGTATAACCAACTACAAACAAAAATAAACAAAAACATTAGTTTAAAATATAGTTGATTATTGATGGTCTTTAATATCTTAATAATCTACATATCAAACGGAGCAGAGTTAAGAAAATTTGGACCTCCGTATATAAAACTGTAGTTAAAAATGTAAACAGATAAAATCTATGGCCACTAATTAAAATATTGATAGAAAAGGTACAGATAATCATCTTAAAGAACAAGTGAAAGTAATCAGCGTATTGCAACTATCACATATAGTAAACTCACTTCTCTACGTCAGAATGCTTTCCTGCCAACAATGAAAATATAATGAATATGTGGATTGTCCAAAACTTTCTGAATGTAAACACTTACAGCCATGAAATAGTTACCTGTTACTTTTTTTTAAATAAGTGTAAGCATTAAAACACCATTTTTTAAAAAAGAAATCACTACAAACTTTCCTAAAGAAAAGTAGCATCACCATAGAAGGTCTATAAAACAATCCCTGGAATGGGCCTCAGTCTCTACCATTTCAACATCCCAAGGTACAGCTGCTTAGGTAAGGCAGCTACATTTCAAGGGGTTACACAGTGAATAGTAGCCTACCATTGAACTCTAAGGTGTATGATGCTTTTTCTAAAGCAATACTTCTGTGCACCCAGTAATAGAATTAAAATGTAATACACAGCTGGAATACAAGTACATACTGACAACCAGGGACACACATATATATAAAAACAACAAACACAAAAACATAAACATATATACACTTACATTGAGGAATCTCATTTTATAGTTAGAAAGTAATAAATATTGCTCAGATTAGGATCTACTTCAGTACATTTTTATTTTTAAAAAAACACCAAGTTACCCTGGAGTAACACTAAGTATATAATCTAACAGGCATATACAAGATAGTTCACAGGGATATTTCTCTTGACTCTCAAGAAATAGGTTGTCTGATATAGGCATTCTGGCTCTAAACATTACTTCACAACACTTTACTATTAATTTCTTAAGATTGATGTCCTACTTTTATCTTCAAAAGATGAGCATCATAGCACAGTCATTAATGTATTTTACAGATAGATAATCTTAGTTAATACTTCTAGTGTATCTTTTATAAAACTAAAAAAATAGGATCATAACAACACAGAGTATCCAATTTCATAAATTTGTCATTACATTAATAGAAAATGAACATTTGGTTGGATTTACAGAATATTTTTCAAAGTTCCCCAAATTCTCTTCTACGAAAATGTGGTTTGAATGTTAGAAAAGTTATTTAAATTAGGAAATCACACTGTCTTTTACCTTGCCTATACTATGTATTACTAATTCAAAGATGGTGGCAATTGGAACAAGTAAGAAATATATACCTACATAGAGGGAACAGAAATCACTGTTCATTTACAAAGCAGTTTTCTATCTCCAGAAAAATTAATACAGTAAAAGAATAACTATAATTTAAGGAAATTTTAACTTAATAAATTAACTTGAAATTATAATTTTCCTCATAGTTATTCTAATGACTTGTTTATATTCAAGAGCATAATTTTTATCACTGTTACCTAAGCTATCAGTACAATGTATAGCCTAGAAATTTTAACCATTTTATTTCCATAGTAATTTATATTCTCATTTACATACAGCTCTCAAGTTGCATCTTGCAACGTTGTGTATCCATGGGAAACAAAGTCAAGTCCAAAGGGCACGAAAGAGTAATCGATAACCTGAAAGTAGAAACAGGGGTCTTAGAAATCATTTGGAAAACGTTTCCGTGATCTGCTGACTTTAAAAGGAAAACACAGATGTACCAATATTAAATGGAAAAGAGTACCTCATGCTGACAAGAACATCTCCATCCCGAAAAATGAAGAGTAGGATATTTTCCTGGGTTACATCATGAAAATTGGCACTTTTTTCATTTGCAAAAAATAAGTCAGGTTTCCACAAACACTTGTACATCGTGGGATCCACTGTCAAGGCGTCTGAGCCCCTAAAGTCACTAGGAAGCTTCAGCCTGGGATCGTTCCATTTTTGTCTTAGGAAGATGTTAACTCTATAGTCCTGGAAAAAGAGGATATCTGTACATATGCATGTTCATTGCTATTTTTAAGAACTTAGCCCCAGAACTAAGAATTTTAATAATTTGCAGCACATTGTTTTTGTTTGTTTTTTTGCTTTTCCAGCATCAACCGGAGTTACTATAGCTCAAGCACTAAATGAGTGCTCTATTTATTAGAAGCATAGAAAGACCTTGTCTTTATCTAATTACTCCCTGCAGACATCCCGTGGCACTCGTGAGCTCAAATGCCAGAACATAACCTAATGGATTATTGCTTTACCTTTACACAAACACCAATTATTCCAATTGATTAGGTGGCAGTGTCACAAAAGCCTGAGACCTGCTAAATATTACCAGCATTCCTCCCCACCAAAGAACACTATTTAGTTTAGAATAGATTAGAAGCAATTTCTATTCATCTTTTGTTAAGTACCCCACTACAAAAAAAGTTCTATACGTACATTAAACACACACACATATATATTCTTGAGAAGGTGAAAGAAAAACTATCCTTGACTACACACACAGGTAGTAGACTACGCAGGGAGAGTCTGAGATAGTCAGATGAGATCTGGCTTATGCAAAACAGATGAGAGTAGATGCAAAATTTGTAAACATTACAGATAATCAACTACAGTAGAAAAATATTTTCAGATCCACTAGTTCATTGTTTTATCTCAGTTATCCACCTATCTCAAATAATGTGAACTTTAAAACTTGGTAAAAAATTGGATTAGACCAAAACATATAGATTGTAAAAATATAGGAACTTAGAAAGATGTTTAATACTTTAATACATTTTATATGTACCTGTAAACACAGGGTTGGGGCACAAATTGAGTCATCAGTGTATATTAATAGAGTATTGAGACATCATGCTAAGATCTTTGGATTTTAATTTTATCTACTGATTTTAAAATATGCACCAAAGTTTCAAGGTATAAATGATATTGGGTTTCAGATTCCTAATTTTCAGTAATTAAAATTCATATAGTACTATCCATTCAAAGCCTTTTGACATCAAGAGGAATTAGATCATAAATATCCATTCAAAATCCAAATAATAGGAAGAGATGATAGACCATCTTTTATTAAATAGTAAGACCTGTTACATTTCTATAAGACATAAATTCACGTTTCCTATAAGAATAAAATATAGAATAAAGCATAAACAATGAGCAGCAATGTTAGAAAAGCTTGGGGAATGAACTGTCTCTCATATGACCTTGTTCTCATATCCAGATTCTCTACAGTAATTGGAGAAGGGTAAGACCCCTAATAATTATCTGCATTTACTGAACTACAGGCAGTGAAGAACGATTTCATGCACCTGTATCTTATGGTCACTCTAAACTTAATGTTTATAAGAACTTCAACATGTACTATAAATTGATTCTTAAAAATCGTATGCAGATGGATTTGGGGTGTCAAAGACAAATAAATTGAGAATTCTACAAACTCACAGGGAACATATCTGCCATCTCAGTAGCAACATTGGAAAAAGAACATTTTTTATAACCAAATTAACATGGAATCATTGAGGGAAAAAAGTCTAGGAGGCCTAGGAAGACCTGCTTAACAAAGCTACTTAAACTTTTTATCAAAATATACACCTATCTTAAAATTGATAATGGGATTTCATTGATTATTTAATATCTTATTTTGACAACTACAAAAATTAACTCAAGTATGTTTAATACTAAGACCCATCTGCCTGGCATAATGAAGCTTTCAACAGGTAATAATGTTGCAAAACCTTTCATCCTTCCCCGGAAGACATGCAAGGTCTTTTCCTTAAGAGGAAATCACACATTACATTCCTTTATTTTCTAATAAACTATCGGTACTGCCTCAGCTAAAAAACATGACATCTACTTGATATCCTTTCAAACAGTCATAGTACTTAATTTCAAATTATTTGCTAAAAAATTTTCTTGAAATCATCTGTCAAAGTTACTCCTACTTGGAAGCTATATACACTAAAAATTATCTTACTATGCTCTTTACGTGCTGCTTTTTACAAAGGTAAATCATTAAAAAACTGTACCTTTAAATTCATGTATTTAAAATATATTTTCATACTATATAATAAAATACTATATCTCTGTTATCAAAGGTTAGTATAAGAAACAACCAGATGTGGTTTTCTGTGTATATTTTATAAACTTGTTATTAAACCCATGGCCCTTTCTTTTCATCAGTGACCCTTAGGTGAAAATACACAGGGTGAGTAATTTACTTATTTATTTAATCCTTAATTTGTTTACACATATAATACTATCATCATAATATAGGTATTTACTATGTGCTACACCGAGTGTAAATGCTTTATAAAATATCTAATGCTCACAGTTTTTGTTATCAAATTGTCCTCTTGATGCCGTGATGTGCTTCCTATTACTGAAAAAATAAGGCTTAAGTATCTTATCATGTTTTTCATTTGGTCTGATGGCTAAGACATTAAAAGTTAATTTTACCCCAATTGCATTAACAATTTATTTCTCATATCCTGATGCAATTGTCACTATATGGCTCTAGCATATTTAGTCCTATTTTGATTTTTTTTTTTTTTAACACTCTTGTTCTGTCATGCGGCTAGAGTACAGTAGCATCAGCATAACTCACAGCAACCTCAAACTCCTGGACTCAAGTAGTTCTTCTGTCCTAATCCCAAGTAGCTGGGACTAGAAGTGAGTACCACCATGTCCACCGAATTTTTGTATTTTTTGTAGAGCAGGGTCTCAATCTTGCTCAGACTGGTCTTGAACACCTAAGCTCAAGTTGATGTTCCCTATTTGGCTTTCTAGTGTTAAGATTACAGGTATGAGTGCCACACCTGGTACATTTCATTGTATATTTGTTATTATAATATACTTCAAATCCTTTCCTTAAAAAGGGATGGATGAAAAAGAAATAACAGTTGAAAGATCATCTTGACAAGAGTGTTTCATCATTGTTTGGGTGACGATCCCAAGCAACATTGCCAATACGGCTTCCAAAATCAGTATTATTTATTTAAGCCTAATATTAGGCATTTTTATTTTAATGGAATGTTACACGTGTATGGATAGAACCATTAAGACTCATTGGAAACAAAACAAAACAAAAACAGCAAAAAAGAGACCTCAATGGCATTCTTTATTTATATCAAAACAAATGCCTTTTACAATGTATGTTATGATTCTCACTAATTAATTTTTAAAGACATAATATCAATATTTTATAATAATATTCAAGATATTGTCTGATAGGAATTAAAGCAATGCTAACATTTACTTCAGTATGTTTTGCATATTGTATAAAAAGTCATCTCACAATGACTTTAGGTGGAGGATCACAAATTAAGCCTTTTTTTTTTTAACTGAATGGTAACTATGTACATTAATGCACTTCTGGGATGCAGTGTGGGGTTTTCACATGCAATCTGAAATACTTTCATCAAACTGGTCAACACAGCCTTCATGTCATTTTCTCAGTTATTGCTTTAAAACGTTCACATTCTACTCTTAGAAAG